ATAAATCAATTTGCTGGGCCCCATATGGCTAGAAATACAATTTTTATGGGACAAAGCCTTAGAGTTAGAAATGCAATTTTTTTTTGGACGGAAGTAGTAGTAAAATATGACCTCAAGGCAGAAAATTCACTTTCTTTTTTCGACGACATATATATACGGACCTTTAAAGAATAATTTTACAAAAAGGCTACCTTAATTCTGTGGCGAAAGTTTTAGTGGCCCTTAATTTAATTATGTTATTCTAGCTAATCTTGCACGTGGCAGGACAATATGCATGACAATTTCTTGTGTCCATGTTCCAAATCTTTCGATGACGAGAGATATATATTGTACGATTTGTCACTTTTAGATGTGATGTTTAATATTTACCATACTATCTACATGTCATAGATATATAGAAATCTACATATGATACATATATAAGTGGTTAATAGTTAAACACCACATCTAAAAGTGGCAACTTGCTAATGGATGGATTAATAAAAAAATAAATATTTCTACCAAATAAAGCATGGCAGCTAGCCTTTAGCGCAAGTGTTCAAAGCAAGTGAATCATTTTGTTAGAAAAACGTGGCTCGCGAGGAGGTTCCATATGTATGATAGATACTAATCCCTCCGTTTCGAAATGTTTGGCGCCGTTGACTTTTTAGCACATGTTTGACCGTTCGTCTTATTCAAAAAAATTTAACTAATTATTAATTCTTTCATATCATTTGATTCATTGTTAAATATATTTTTATATACGTATATAATTTTACATATTTCACAAAAGTTTTTAATAAAACGAACGGTCAAACATGTGCTAAAAAGTCAACGGCGTCAAACATTTCGAAACGGAGGGAGTATACATTTAGATTTTCAGGTGGCGGGCATTGGGTGAAGATCACGGTAGGTACGAATATGAATAATCAAGTGGCACGTGAAGATGTGCCAGAGTACTACGCTGCATTTCGTATTGCAGTGAATTAATTGTTTTTTTTTACGAAGTTCTATTCATATAGCAGAAAAAAATTACAATATTATTACCTTAAAAGATCGTAACCAGGAAAAAAAATTATACCACCACACACACCGATAATGCTAACATATAAGTCCGAGAAAAGGCTAGCACCGGACCGGCCACCGCTAAACGTGACCGATCGCCGCTAGGCCAATAACGAAACACAGACGAGATTGCCCCAAAAACACCCTTACAACCAACACAAAGCCCAATATAAAATCTTGTTTGTTGTGATGGCTTTTGATATTTCATTATTTGGTAAATAGTTTCTAGTAGATTTATGCAAATGATAATGTTATCGTGCTCGAAAAATATAAAATAATTACAAACTGGACATAGTTCAGCTGGTTAGATAACTAAACAAAGTTGGATATCATATTTTTATTTAATTGTAATTGATATGTAACAAACACATCAACTATAAATTTTATTTTCAAGCAATTAATAAAATAAGAAAAAAAATCACAATATAGCAATACGATAACAAACTCCTTTTTCAGAACTACAACAACAAACTCAACCTTAACATGCCTGCTATTAATACAGTCTAATTTTTAACTGCAAATTGAGGTATCAATATTCATGTGGTGGTACCTATTTACCCGACTCGAATCATAGACTTAGCATGAGCATTTGTATTTATTAGAATTTAATCCCAAGAGGTACTACATGTATGCACACGGGTGTGACACCAATTAAAGCACATGACCGTACTCACGCGAGGTTACGTCTCTAATCTTGTCAAGACTACATGTGTACACGTTGGTACATGTTGTATGTATCAAAGTGTAGGTACGCTTTCAACTTGTACTTCAAATATCATTTAATCCTAAAAGAGAAAAGAGAAAGTTCATATCATTATACTTTCAAATGTGTGTGTACTTTCAATGGTGTGTTTGACTCTTACACTCCAAACTTCACAGTTAATTAACTTAACTGAGGATGGCGATGACATCTCATATGTTCTTGTCACGATCAGTTAAATATTACTTCATCTGTTTTACATTATAAATTAATTTTATGTATTTTAAATCAAACTTGATCAAAACTATAAAAAAAGTTAGCGACATCTAAAATATTAAATTAGTTTCATTAAAACTAACATTAAAAATAATATATTTTCTAATAAACACGATCAAACTAGAATAAGGTTTAATTAGAAAAAAAAAAGTCAAAAGTCAAAGCGAGTAAAGTTTCTAAAGCCTTAATTCAGAGACATAGACTTGGCCAACGTCCAGCAATCAATTAATTGACCAAGTTGCTTTAATTCCCTCCTATCTGGACGATGAAAACGATAGAGTAGTGTACTACTAATTACAGTGTCGATCACATCGACCAATGTTAAAACGTGAAGAAATTGCGAGCCTAATTAACTGCAGAGAGCGTCACCATAGAAGAATATTGTGTTCAAATATATGGTAAACATCTTTTTACAGACAGTTCCCCCGGTCATATGTACTCTTCCAGTGTCATGAATTAAACACGTCGCTTTAGATATATATGGACGCAATTGTCAAAATGCAAAATTGACAATTCACTTCCACACTACAAATTTTCGTCAGAAAATTTCAGATTAATTAGAAAATGTCCAAAGTACTTTATAAAAGTACCTTTTGGGGCAAATATATAATTATCATTTTCAAGTATCCATTCAATTAAATAACATTTCTGAAGTTACTCATCCAAAAAAGGCATGCTTTCATTGCTGGACGGAGTACGATTTTACAAACGTGACTTTGAAATATATATTGTAAGTGATAGGTAGCATTATGTCGTACCATCTCTCTTCTGAAAAGGACGGTGCCCTACAACACGTGTCGTCAAATCTCAAAATCTATAGATGCAAATATACCAAGATTTAAAATGTGATAATTATATTTGTCATAAAATAATATTTCATATAGTTATATTTTTCAATAATTTATATAAATATATACTTCTGAAAAGTAATTATAAAACATGTGCACGGGAGAATGTGTTGATATCCAAAACATTAACAAAAAATAACAAAGGTAGTGACCGGTAAGATGAATTTAGCTATAAAACTATTTTAGTTACTTATATATAGATGGCTAAAAGAAATCATACTTATGTAATACACGTACTTGTAATTTCATTGGGTTTGCAATAAAGAAAAAGCCCCGACCAATTTTATTAAGATTATATGAAGATGTTACATATTACAACAAGTGTGACCACATATATATATATATATATATATATATATATATATATATATATATATATATATATATATATATATATATATATATATATAACAATCGAAACTTAAACAAGGAAAGGGGTTAAACCCAAGAACAGAGACGAATCTAGCATGGGTGATGGGGGGACTCAAGTCCCCTTACCTTACTGAATCATCACCATTGAGAGAAGGGGAGAGAGGAGGGGGAAGAAGAGGGGGAGAAGAAAGAGTAGGGGCTTGAGGAGGAAGAAGGAGATAAGCCCCCTCTATTAGAATTAGATCCGTCCCTACCCAAGTACTTCCTCCGTTTCATATTATAAGACTTTCTAGTATTACCCATATTCATATATATATTAATGAATCTAGACATATTAACATCTATATACATGTGGACAATGCTAGAAAATTTTATAACCTGAAACGGAGGGAGTAGATCTTAACTGGGTTTTGCTGGTAACAAATTAACTACTTTTGGCAAAACCAAATGGGAGTTATCCTAGGTGATCTTGTATCTCTTCCATTGTGATTCCTTCCAGACCAGTAGCACGCCACTCCCACCATGCATTCTTCGAAAATACACCAGGAATACGTACAGGTCACAATTACCATCATCATGATCATCGTCATCATCCACCTGTGATACAGCAGAGATGATTCCTACTGTATTTTTCTTTTACTCCCTCCGTAAAAAAAAAACTCGTTATCTAGCTAGATTCGTTGTCCCTTGGTTGAGTGTTTTTTTTTTGACGGAGGGAGTACGAATCATTCAGTCCTATACTGTGACAGTATTAATTACTGGTAATAGGTTTCCTCTTGATGGACAGTGACACTGAACTAACCAAAAAATGAAGATTTCACAGATAGTTTCTGTCAGCCTATATATCGAGCACAACTGCACAAGCAGTCAGTTAGTCAATAGGGCTGTTTTAAACGCAAGCTTACTGGATCACCATCAGCTCAGTCATATAAATCAAAATCAATAAGAAATGATCTTCACTCATTCATTGCATCTACAAATTAAAATATATATAGTGTGTTCAACATCCTTGGATGATTCAAACACTGCAAATATTTTAATCGCGCCACTTACTGTAGCATGCAAACGAACCTCTAGTTAAAATAACTCGTGTTAGTCTTAGTCTGATCTAGACAAACCAGAGTTTTAGTTGAAATGCCATCTCACCTATGTAGATGGCCCGGGACCGAGGCCTCTCTACTCTTTCGTTTCTCAGACGCATGCTTCCCTAATTATTAAACATCGTGTTTTTATATTTTTTATAAAAATATTAATTAAAAAAAATCATATTCATAATTAATTAATCATATATTAATGAGTTATCACGTTTTCTGTGTGCGGGAAAAGTTTTCCCAACCTTTACTATCCAACACAGACTAGATCTAGAGTAGCCTGTAGGTGTGCCCCAACTCTGTTTTCAACCATGACAAGAACTGGTATGGATGGAGTATGGACCATGCAAGGGACTAATCAGCGATTGATGTGGGACCGGTCACCTATGTGCTGATGACATCACTTGCCAAGTCACCACCCTTTGTAAAATTTACTCAAAACTTTAAGGAGATGCCTATGTGAGTATATATTCTTATCTGTCAAAGAAAAACACAATTATTTTTCACCGGGAGACACATTTTAGTATTTTTGTTGGAGTCATTTTAGCACTGATAATCAACTTAATGTCGTTGCAAAATTCAGGGGGGGAAAAACTGTTCTAGGACCAATATTTAGACTGCACGTATAGAAAAGAAAATATGAACCTGATTTCAGGAAAAAAGCCCTCATGACGTCATAATGCCATTATTGATTCTTTCATTGTCAAAGTTGTAACATTTCTACTTTGAGGATTACAAAAAGGTTATTAATCTGGTTTTACTAGAGCTAGCCTTAATAGCTACTCCCTCCATTTCACAATGTAAGTCATTCTAGCATTTTCCACATTCGTATTGATGCTAATGAATCTAGACATATATATCTATCTAGAATCATTAGCATTAATATGAATGTAATGACTTACATTGTGAAACGGAGGAAGTAGCTCCTCATAACATTGATCAAAATTTATACATTTGAAAATTATTTTGGTTCCCTTCACAGAAGCTTCACACAAAGAAGCTGAGACATATATTACAACATTACACTATATACTAGTCCAATCACATCTCCAAATTCACTCCCCCATCCCATGGTTGCTCATTGCAGAAGAAATTAATTGATGTGTAGCCTCGCCGATGCGCAAGCACCGGGAGGCAATATGCATAGATCCTACGTCGAGAAGGTCAGGAACTACACACTGATGTGGTCAGATCAATGGAGCTGTACATATGCAGCTTCTTCTTCTTCTTCTGATGTTTCTCGGTCATGTCCATGAGGAGAGGAGGAGGTCGACGGCAGCCGCCGGCCGGCCGCCATCAGAGCGGCCTCCGGTGCGCCGACGACGCCATGAGGATGACCATGGCGACGACGAACATGAACAGCATGCTCCCCAGGAGAGTGTAAGTCCGCCGCGACGATCTCCGGTACTCGCCGAACAGCACGATCCCCCACACCGTGCTCACCAGCGGCAACGCCTGCAGCAGAAATAATGTTCAGAAAAGTTCAGACACACGCCCCGGCCCATTCATGTTCAGAGTTTCAGAAAACCCATATCGTCTTCTTCTCATACTGTCAAATTCCAAAACCATGATCAGATCATAATTTGCACATATGAATCTTCATCTTGAGGATCATTAATGCTTGCCTGATAAAATGTTCAAGTCATGTACTCCTCTCTCCAGGTCGTAAATATTTAACGTTTAGGATAAGATTTGGTCAAATCAAAACTTTGGCCATTAATTTTATTTCAGAACAAGTTTATCCTAATCTGCACACACTAATTTTTAAACCAATAATTTTTTAAAAAATACTTTTTAAAAAAGATAATGGGTAGAAATCCGGTCTATATATCTACAAGTGGATATATACAGCCAAATTGAGAAGTTACTGAATGTCAAATCCCAAAATTTTAATGAAATCTTATCCTAATCATCAAATATTTATAACGAGAGAGAATATCTCCCAAGAAATGCAAATTGAGCTGAGAAAGATCCTCTACAGTTGTGGAGATTATGGATACCATATACCTATAAGACGTGAACCTATATAAATCATCCGTCTCATAACCCATCTACTTTTCTAGCTTGTTTGCTACCCTTTTAGAATAGCAGAAATTTAGTTTCGACAGCAGTACTGCAGACGGCCTGGATTGAAGAAAGATGGTGTACCTGGACAGCGTCAGCAGCAGCATACCCAGCAGCCTGCCCAGCCATGAACTGGAACGCATTGCCAAGGCCACACACCATGCCTGCGACGAGAGCAAGATCCCTCCCCTTCCAATCCTTCAGGTAGGCCGTGAGCGACGACCGCGGCACGCCGACCATGGGGTGGTAGAGGAACCAGATGTTGAGGGCGATGCCGATGGCGAAGCAGGCGAGGGAGAAGTAGAAGAATGCCGTGTACACCACCATGTGGGGGACGCCCTCCCCGAGCGTGTGCCACTGGTCGTTGGTGGCGAGGTTGAACGCCGGCGAGAAGAGGGAGTAGCTCACGCCGGCGAAGGTGACGATGCCGAGGCCCAGGAAGGTGTTCGATCCGAGCACCTGAATGTGAAGTTTTTTTTTTTTCAGAAGGTCTTTTGTGTCATGGAGAAGAAACAAATTAATGTTGTTGAGTTGGTGTTTCTGTTGTGAAAGTGTGAATTTTACTGCTTCCCCCCCGTTTTATATCATAAGTCAGTTCGATTTTTTTCAGTCAAACTTTGTTAAGTTTGACTAAATATATAGGAAAACTTAGTAACATATAAAATATCGAATTAGATTATTAAATCTAATATTGAATATATTTTGATAATACATTTGCCTTTTATTGAAAATACTATTATACTTTTCTATAAACTTGATCAAACTTAATGAAGTATAACTGGGGAAAAAGTCAAACGACTTATAATATGAAACGGAGGGAGTATGTTGGAAATACATGGAAGGTTGTGTCAGATTTTTAAAAAAAGTTCCTTAGAGATACATGGATTTTCATTTGTGGAAATTTTGCTAGCAACTCTGCTTTGCAATTGCTCCACCTGAATTTCTGCAGTTTAGTCATGACATTTTAACTAATATATTGGTACGGTTAGTATTATAAGTACGTACTTTAATAGATCTCTTCCCCTCAAGGTCAACCAGGAAATCAGCTGTTCCTGCCTCTAGTTTTTCCACAGCCTGGGCAGCCGGTGCCACTTCAGGCTCTTGTTCTTCACAATCCTTGGGTTGTTCTGTCAATTGAAAGATTAGTACACATAGCTCTATGATATACTATTATTTTCAGACTAAATCTGATTAGTACCTATCTCAAGGAGGTGCTTGGTGAGTTCTTCATTTTCAGTGTCCCTGTTGAGAGTTCAAGTTAATTACATTGTTTGTTCAGATGAATTTACTGCATTGGAATAATGTACTGATGCACAAATGATACATTGGTCGCAATTAGCAACAACCAAATAAAATTCAAGTAAAAGCAAATTACCTTATATACGTGTTATTTTTCAAAATTTTCAGTATTTCAGAAGTAGAATTTAGGCAGAACTGATGAAACGGATTCACCACATGAGTGAAAAACGGAAGAAGAGAGTTTATACCCATTGGTGTTGCTGTGGTTCACCATGGCACTAGACAGCTTCTCCTGGTTGTCAGCAGCATTGGAAGAGTGAACAAGAGATCCAAGGCAGGCTGCAATCAGAAAGCATCCGACACCGGGGAAAAGAATCTCCGCCTTGTTGATCCGGCCATCGAGAAAATAGTTCAGTGTTGTCCCTGGAAGAGAAGTTTCTCAGTCACACCATATTGTCATTTTCAGATTCTGAACAGTAAATGCTATACAAGCATCAGGCATCATTCTTATTATCAGGAGAGCATATCACTCTGAATTTTTTTGTACCTATGACAACCTTCAGGCTTGACGCCATGACCTCGGTGACCGAAAGCCCGACGAACGCCCACCCGTACTGCGTGGCCAGTGTCCCTAGGCCGTTAAAGATGCCACCCGACATCGCGAACAAGATTGAAGGCCAGTTGTCCTGCATCTTTATTTGAAAAAAAAAAGGTTATCCAGCATTGATCAACTGAAATTTTCAGAGTTTTCTATTAACACAAGCCTGATACACTGGGTTCACTTCCTTTTTTTAGATAATGAAAACAGTTTACATCTTTGGCCTCTTCCGACAGGAAACAAGGTTCACTTCCCTTTTTTTTTAGACAATGGATTGGAACCCGGCCTCTACATCCAACATGAATGTAAAAAACCAACAAAATTCACTTCCTAGTGACAAACCACAGTTTTTCAGAAAAGGTTGTACCCCATGTCTGAAAAGTCTGAAAACTGTACTAGACCAACATACTGAATGTCTGAAATGAGCATCACTTCCTTCAGACTAACATGTCTAAATTCAGACAAGAATAACCATGGGCACTAACCTGGGTGAGCTGTGTGAGGAAATTAGGCGTCTCCGGCGTGTCGGCGCCGATCTGGCCGAAGGTGAAGGCGACGAGGAGGGCGGCGAGGAAGTTGGTGATGGAGTAGTCCAGGTAGGTGTGCTGCGGGAGGCGGCCGCGGCGCTCCAGCACGGCGAGGACCACCGGCCATGTGCCCAGGAGCACCAGTGACACGCCCATCAGCGCAATGGCGCCGCCGATATCCTTCACAAGATACATGATCTCGCCGGAGCCGGAGAAGAATCAGGGACAGAGTAATTACCTGCTCCATGAAACTCTGTCAGACTTGGTAAACGGTGTTACTCTGCAAAGTCAGTGAGCAACAGATCACTGTGTAAAGCTATGAACTGGAAAGAACAAGATTCAATCCAAACTCTCAGTGGGAAAGATTCATTAGGATTTTGTGTATTGCATTGAAACCAAGAACATGAGAACAAAAAAAAAACATAGACTGAACTCTGGAAGATGTAAGAGAGGTGTGCGATGGAAATATGTGATCTCTGAAAGCGAAATACAAGTATACAGCTTCAGCTACATGGTTGCAGCTCAAGAACTGTTCAGGAAACAGCAGAGGTAGTAACAAAGAAGAATTGTTCACCTGAACTTTCCGACAACATATACAGATCAGATTCCTCTACAACAAAAGGCTAAAATAACTTAAAATTCAATCCAGGAACCAAGCTTCTATCAGTCTCTGTTCAGCTGTACCATATAAGTGAACTCACAGAAGGAAGGAACACTGAAGAGTGAAGCTAAGAACAGCTTTGGATTGGAGTGGAAACATTACAAGAAGCATTTTCAGCATCATCAGAAAGAAGACGCAGAAAGATGCAGAGCATAATCCATGGACATTACTTTCCAAAGATCTATGCTCTCCAAAACAATCTCTTCTATAAATAATTCAAGTCAACATGATCCAACACACTGTGTGAGCAAATAACAGAAAACACATGCACTTGCAGGAACAACAAATTAAGAAGTCAATGCACATGCACTTGCATGTTCTAACACCAAGAACATGTGAACCACAACGATTCCCATAAACTCTGGAAGAAATGGAGAAGAGAAGCTTCATGTTCCTGCATACCACAGACCACAGCTCTAGGATTGCTAAAGATTCAAGAAGCACAACGAAACCATCTCTGAGCTCAAGAACTGAACTTGAAACAGATCTAGCAGCCTTGTTAAATTATCTTGGAACAAACCAAAACACCCAGAACACACATTCACAGCAAAACACCTCAACAGTTTTGCTCAAGGTAAGTGCAGAAATAGCAACATAACAGCTAGCTTTTTTTCATGCAAAGCAAAGAACTAATGAACATACCAAATAAACAAGGAAGAAGAACCAGTGAGTGCTAATCTTGTTGGCCCTTGAGCCCTGTTACTATGAGAGAGAGAGTGTGTGTGTGTGTATATTTACACTACTCCAGCCAGCATGTGTCTGAAAATTTGTGGTGCCTCACTGCCTCTGGAAGCTTCATGCATAGTCAGTGAGCTTAGCTATAGCTAAACCTTAGCTAATTAAGTAGTAGTAGCAGACTTATGGATATGTGATGAGGAGAATGGAGATTGGGAGCAGGTGGGGCCCACACGAGCCAGTTCACCAACCGGGTGACTAGGATGTGATCTGTTGGGCCCACACCTTAGGTGGACCGTACCCCAATAATTGCAGAAATTTTATCCTCTTTGTCAGATCTAAACTGCCCTCCTTGAGGTGCATTGCACATTTGCAGTAGTAGCAGTAGTAAGGCCTGGTTTAGCTCAAAAAACATCACATCGAATTTTTGTGCACATATATGAAGCATTAAACATAGATAAAAACAAAAACTAATTGCACAGTTTGTATAGAAATCTCGAGACGAGTCTTTTGAGCCTAATTAGTCCATGATTATCCATAAGTACTACAGTAACCCACATGTGCTAATGACGACTTAATTAGGCTCAAAAGATTAGTCTCGCGGTTTCTAGGTGAGTTATGAAATTAGTTTTTTCATTCGTGTCCGAAAACCCCTTCCGACATTCAGTCAAATATTCGATGTGACACCTAAAAATTTTATTTTCACGAACTAAACAAGGCCTAAGATGAATCAGTTCATTATTATCTGGAACTCGTCACCATTTCACCAAATGATATTTTCTCTTTTCTTTATATTTACGCCTAGTCGGGTCTGCGCCGGCAGCACCGCAATGCAACCGAATAGACTAATATATTTCTAAGACAGAACAATACTCACTCTAACCCAAAATATAAGGAATTTTATGTGGATATGACACATCCCAGTATAATAAATCTGGACACGTCACAATAAAATAAATATGGACATGTGTCCAGATTCATCGTACTAGGGTGACGTGTCCAGATTCATTGTACTGGTATATGTCACGTCCATCCAAAATTCCTTATATTTTAAAACCGAGGAAGCATGTGATATAGCTATACATCATACATCCATACAAAATTTCACTGTCGCGCTTTATGTAATTTAATAATGCGAGCATGAGATTGATGATTTAATTTTATACTAGCAATTGATTATGCTTGCTTTACTGGTTTTAGACGCATTAAGCTGATCAGTGTGTTTTTTTCCGGTAGGTTATGGGACATTAATTTGTGAAGTTAAAAGTTATGTAAAGTTTGTGCTGTTTTTATCCTCACAAACCAAATTAAGGCACGAACTTAACTTTGAAACTGAAAAGTTAATTTCAGTACGGGATTCTGAACGTACTCCCCACATCCCATAATATAAGCATCTTTAGCATAGTGTCAGGTCAACCATTTTAAACTTTAACCATTAATAGCAAGAAAATAAAAAAAATACTTATATTCTTGTTATTTAAAACATTTTATTTTTATAGATATTGTTGGTCAAAGTAGCATCTTAAAGACCGTGTCAAAGTCAAAAAGAATACTTATATTCTAGGATGGAGGGAGTAAGTAAAATAGAAAAGAGGTAAATATACCAAAGATTAAAAAAGAGAGAGGGTAGGCAGTTAGGCACAATGTCACATCGCCTAATGTCATTATATGCAGACATGCATGCATTATATGATGGAGCTGATCGATACCGTTTGATGCCAGGTAGAAGCATATTCGTGAAAATCGCATGTGTTGGAGTTGATACCGTTTGATGCCAGGTAGGTACTGGTGTCTGAATCAAAAATAGTATTAACAGATTAGTACTTTTACGTTTATCACGACTAGTAATATCGTTTTATACCATTGCAAATTATCAGTAATAAAAACGATTTAGACTACTTACTTACGGGTCCTATTACCCCTGGGAAAAAACCTTGTAATTAAATTGTACTATTGTATTATATATAAAATTGAGGTGGTAGGATAATTAAAAGACGAAAACGGTAGACTGATTGCACTACCGATAGAGAAAACTAAAATTGCCTCAACAGATAAGATCAACATGTTATAAAACTAGCACCGAAATCAACGTTGATAACCGAGCACGAAAAAAGACTATAGAAGTTGCAAATATAATGACGATACCGAGCCACAATATTTATTAATAAAATTTAGCCAAAACCTATATCTATAGGACACTAATTACGAATATATTTTTCCGATCCAGCATATTACATGAATATCCGGGTATAACGACCCTCGGCCGGTGTGGCTCTATTTAAGTGAGAGCCATGGCTAAATTCAACTCTACTACTATCCTAAATTCCTAATACATATTACAAACTTTAAGTTTTAATTAATTTGTAACCGATTATGTAAGCATATCCGACTAAACTCTAACATTCTGCATAGAACTAAGACGAACAATATCACATCCACCCAAAATATTATCACAAAATTCCACGGAGATTTCGGAGGAAATAAAGGTCTAGAATATAAATAAATATCCAAGTATTCCATGCATCTCAATTAAACTGTACTTAATTAATTTCTTTGCTGCGCCTGACGATCCGTCGGCCCTGTGCTACATCCCCCAGTTCGCATGCCACATGTGCTGACTGCATGAGTCCAGCTATTGCTGCTTGGACTGTACTCCTTCGTCAGAAAAAAAAATTAATATAGGAGGAGATGTGATTTCTCCTAATACAAATCTGGACAAAAGGATCGCATTCCCTTAGAGCAAGTTTAATAGTATAGCCAACTGTTAGCTCCAAAACAACTATAGCTAATCTAATAGCCCATTCATACAAGTAGGAAGGTGGCCCGCGCGTATGCGCGAGCACTTATATTATTGAAAGGTAAGATTTTTATTGTTTGTTAAAAAAAATTATCTCATAGATTAAGGGCAAACTAAAGTTCGCATACTGTTATTTTGTAATAATTTAAGGGTTCTATTTTTTGTTAAGGTATCTTAAAAATCCATTCAGAGTGGGAGATGGATTAAGTACTTACGACTTTTGAATCATGTTTTTTTCTGAGTAAATAGATTAAATCGTCTCATAAAGGTGCATGATATAGTAAGAAAGGGAGGGGAGCATATTCATGGAGAAAAAGAATAAAGGGAAAAATAAAAAAAAGGAGGGGAAGCGTAGGTACCCACGTACGTAGGTGCGTACTAAAGGTGGAGAGGTGGGACCTTGTAGTATTTAGTTTGTTCTAAGATCAATTTAATCTAATGGTTTATAATATTGGACCCAACGATTCAAGTGAAAATCAAGTAATAGATACTTTGCTTTTTTTTAGAATTTCTAATATTTTCTCTAATTTATTAGAGCACCATGTGGCATCTTGAGGGCATTTTAAGAAATTTTAATGGGCTTACCACATATAATTAGAATATTAAGATGTAATATATATGTATGGGATGTATGTTAATATTCGTTCTAGTTTCGTCCATGTTTATATACACGTAGAGAAAAATTAAATATGTTGCTAGCAAGCCATTAGATGTTTAATTAATAGCAATTAATTTTGATACCTATTTACAATTGGTCATAGTAGTTCTTACAGATTCATCTTACGACTTTGATTATGCGTTGATCACCAATTTACTTATCACCATGACTCGCACGAAAAAATATGTACTTTAGGGGTTAGGACAACTGAAATTGATGAATTATCTAATTTATGTGATAGCTATTTGAGATTATAAACGAATGAATTGACTTCTAAAAAGTTAAAAAGTTGTTTAAGAAAAGCACCATTTAGTAACATGGAAAGCGTGGAGCGTGCAAACGAAAATTCAAAAGATGGAATCAGGGAAAAATAGGGCCTTAAACTCCCTTATAACACTCTTATCCTATCAAGAGTTCTATTGATATTCGTTAATATTGTGCTCACAATTATAACATAATAATTTCTTTCAACCATACGAACAAATAATACAAAATCCAAATACAACATAACACAATACATTATAATTATTATTTAATCAACTCTCGATTTCAGCTTAAACAGAGTTAAGTGTTCCACGGTACTTAATTCTTCTCTCGCTGCATCAAATCTTTAATTTTCTTTTCATGCTATTAACAACAGCGGTAGCGCTGCAGTGGTTGTGATCACCCAAGATGTCTCAAACACGACACTTTATCATATGTGTGAAAGGCAAAGGTGCAGACGTGCATTGTGCAGTGTGCCAAAAAGAGAACTTTAGACATTATTAACAATAGATCCGATGATTTAAATAATGGGTCCACCGGTTTTAGTGTAAATATAAATTAGTTAATATATATGTTTTAAATTGTTAATTTAATGGGTACACAACATAATGGTGATGGTGTAGATTTTATTTTAAAACACTAAATTATTCGAGAATAATAGTCCAAAGTAATTAAAAAAATAGATCCGATGATTTAAATAATGGGTCTATCTGTTTAATTACACATATATATTAGTTAATATAGATCTTAAATTGTTTATTTGATAGTTACACAATATAATATTGTGTAAGCTTTATTTTAATATATTGCATTATATGAAAATAATAGTACAAAGTAAATTATCTTACATTATTGATTTTAGAGCTAATTTACATATAATATGGTGTAAATTTTATTTTCAAAGTCTGTATAGCTAATTTAGTTACCTGTGTTTATAAAGAGTTATACGATGGTATTTTCCTTTTTAAAAAATTATGATTATTTAAACAAATATATATCAAATTGTATAAATGGAAAAAAGAAGAAAAAAAAGGAGAAAAATGGAGGGAGGCGTACGTACTACAGGCCCACGTGACCTACACCTATGCACGCGCGAGAAATAGGAGAGGTGGGACCCATATTATTTGGTTTGTTTTAAGATCAATTTTATCTAACGGTGTATAATATTGGACACACCAATTTAAGTGAAAATCAAGGGGTGGATGTTTTGTTTTTTTCTTAAAATTTCTAGGATTTTCTCTAATTTATTAGAACGCCACGTGGCAGCTTGAGGCATGTCTAGATTCGTAGTCCTAGGATGGGTCTCATCCCATCCTAGGTTGTAACATTATGGGACGGAGGGAGTAATAGTTAGATAGATAATTAACTATAAAAATATACTACACCATTAATACCCGATCCATCTCTCATACACACATAACGTCTTGGAGTCCGTGTTGCAGCCGGCTACAATC